CCAAGATGGGCGAAGAAAGAGAAGTCCCGACAGCGTCCAAGTAGTCAGTGGAGAACTTATTTTTGGAAAGTTGTTTAGCCTTCTTTGGAGGCTTGACAGAACCAGGTTTGGAAGTAGAGGATTTCTTCGCCACTTTCTTTGGCGGTTTAGCAGCAGCCGCCCCAGAAACTTCAGCCTCCGATTGAATAGAAACAGCCTGGGGTTCAGGCGCCGAAGCGATAGATGGAAGCTCCATGGTCGATGGCTTGGAAGCTGATAAGGTGGAATTCCACAAGTGAAGCTTCAGCCGCTGTTGCCTAGCTTTCAAGGCGGCCTTAGTGAAGGCTTGGCAGTGTCTACACGTCTGGGGGGAGTGTGATTCACCCAGACAAAAAAGACACGTGTCGTGCCCGTCCTGAAAGGGGATTTTACCCGAGCACACGACACACCGGCTAAAGGGTCCGGACGGTGGAGGGGGCATAGGCAGGGACCACAGGGACCGGGAAACGGCCGTTAAAAAGGGCGGGAAGAATGGTGGGTGGGAGTGGGAGAGAGAAAAAGTACCCAACCAAGTCCGTAGAGAGAAAGCAATCCGTAGACGATCCGAATCAAGCCAGAAAGACAATACACGAGGAAAAAAACGATCCGAAAAGGGAAACTTTAACAGAGCTAAGCCGAGAGGAACCACTTCACACGGCGGAGAAATGGAACTGGGGCTTGGGCGGGCGGAGCATGCGCAGTGTAGGTAATGTTAAACTATGTTTCCTTTACAGAGCTCTAGAAAATTCCGAAGGAACCGACGCTGGCGCTGACTTAACCCTTTATGTGTGCATTCACAGAAGACCACGAAGAAGAACTGCTTGGTCACTCCTCTTTTTATCCTAGCTGGGAACAAGTCGAAGGAGTTTTCATCCTTCAGGAAGGTGCTTTTGGGGATTCCTTCCTCAACACTGTACTATATCTCATTTTGCTGTGTGGCTCTTATCATGTAGTTCATGCTACTATTTGCTGGCTTGCCAATTTCAGGCTGTTGGAAACAGACTGCTGAACTCCTTGCCTGGAGTTATTGTGTTGCTTGGTAGGACTTGGCATTGACTGCCTTGTTTCCTGATTCTGCCTTTGGCTTGCCCTTTCAGGATCTGGACTGATTTGTCTGCTGATGTCTGCTGGCTTGGGCTTCTGCAGAAAATGCCACAAGGCTTTCCGCCTCTGGAGACAGGATACCGATGAGTTAGATATGACATGCAGGGATAGTGCTATCCTGAATAGATTTATTCCACATTATTGTCTACTTCAAGGCAACTTGCTTACTGCATTTTCACATATGAGATTACTTAAAACTTGGGAGGGAAAAAAACCCAAAGTTGCTTTCTTGTGTTTTACCATTTCCCCCTGTGACAACCCCAGACCTACTGGGATATGCCACAGTTTCACTAAGCTAAGCTGCAAAAAAAAACCCAAAGTTGCTTACTTGTGTTTTACCATTTCCCCCATACTCTGATGTCTGGAACATAGTATCTTCAAGGGTCAGGTCATGCACTTCATAGTAATTAGGGGAACAAATGGAGTGGAAAGATTAGTAGTTCTGACATTTACTGTATCCATGTACCTCTTTACCATCCATGGATGAGATACATCCTTCAAGTCTTCAAGTCTTCCAAGGTTTTCTTGAGGATCCCAGCAATGTTCTCTGTGGCCCTGTTCTCATATGCAAGATCCAATAGACACCACAAAGTTTTTCTCTCAAATGTTCCAAATCACCGTCTGTTCTGTGCATAGTAGCCTTCACATTGCATTCATCCAGGGAAAACGCATACAGACATCTTCAGCAGTGGGAAAATGGAACACCATATGCTTCTATCATAATTATGTATCCTACCACTGGTAATTTAACATAAAACTTGGGGGGGCACAGTCTAGCAAAAGCCAAGCACTCACCCACTTGATTGTTTTTTGTGTGGGAGAGACTGAAGCATCTTCAGAATATTGTTTCTCTTACGGGCAAGGCTCTGGAAAGAATGGTGAATGGACACATGGTCAAAAGCTGGAATCTAATTTACGCAGGCACAACACAAAGGCCTGAATCCATCTAGTTGCAATTCGATACTCTCAGCAATGCTGAAATGAAAGATGAAGAATTTAAATCTGTCTCCATTCTTCCTTCAGAGCCAAATCCCCAGGAAGGCAGTATTCAAGGGATAGCCTTCCTGGAGCAGTGGAAGAAGAAAGTCTTTGAGAGAATTTTGCTGGCATAATTGCAGGCAATTTCTGATTATCCTGATTATTTAGACCCATTTCAGTCTGGTTTCAGGACTGCATGAAACTTCATTGCCCTGATGGATGCCCAGGGAAATGGAAGTCTATTGCTTTTACTCACTTGCCCAGTGGCCTTTGACACAATTGATCATGGTGCCTTTTTGAATTGGCTCAGTGATTTTGGAGTTGGGTGCACTGTCTTTCAGTGGTTCTGTTGCTACTACAAGGAAGGAGATTATTTCTCAGACTCCTGGCAGCTGTGCAGTGGTATACCTCAAGTTACCAAACTATTCTCAATGGTTGTGCAATGTCCATATGAAGCGGTTAGGAGTGGTCACCAGGAAATCTGGAGCCAAGCATCATTAGCATGCTAATGATATCCATTTCTAGTTCTCTATCGCTTCTTCATCAGGTGCAGCTATGCAGGTTCAGATCTGCATGCGGTGATGGGGTGGATGAATAATAAACTGTGACTGAATCTTGGCTAGAGGGAATGGCTGTTTATGGATGATTCTCACATTTGGCAAACAGGTAAATGACCTGTTCTAAATGAAGTTGCACTCTTTGTGAATAGTCAACTACATGATGTGGGGTTACTCCTGGACCAATCTTTGTTCCTAATGGGTCAGAATGCCTTTTGTCAGCTTCAGCTGGTGCCCTCGAGGGTGGTCTAGAGGCTGCAGTTGGTGCAGAATGCTTCAGCTATTCTTCTGTGTAATGCAACCTACCAGCAGCCTGTAACACCACTGCTGAAGAGTTGCACTGGCTGCCTGGTTTCAGGGTTTGTTGCGTCTTTATAAATCTTGGAACTAAGCAACCTGAGAGATTACCATATAGGCCTGTAACTGGACCAGTGTGATTGTCAATTTCACGGAAGAGAATATAGAAGGAGGTACAGCTAAAGGGGCAATAACCCCAACATATTAATAGAACAAGTTTATAGGTTGGAGCCGGGGTCTGCCTTTTGTGGATGGAGATGCTTTCACCCAATTTCTAGCAAAGCTTTATCCTCCATCACTGGTACCAAAAAACTCACCATGTGTGGTGGGTTACCATGGTGCAGTGTATTTTTTCAGGTCTACCCTGGACAAATGGAATGGGAAAGTCTGCTTCAGAAAGCCCAATTATTCATGCTTAAATACAGATCCTGCCAGTTAAAATGAGGAGAATAAGTCCCACTGAGGTCCTTTGGTCTGCTGGACTACATCTGGATCCAACTTGATGTGAACATGCAGGCAAAGAAAGCTGCTGGCTTTCAGTTCTTCCATCTTTTGGAATGACGACGCTGTGCATAAAATTTCTGCCACATCTTTTTCCAACTATTTTCATTCCGTGTGATAGACAATAAATTACTTTCAAAAAAAAAAAAAGTTCAAAGGAGACAAATGTTTCAAAGAAATTCTTGCGGGCGAGTGCTTGCACTAGCTGTGAGATGCAGCCAAGAACTGTGTGCGCAAAGCTAGTATTTAGTGATGTCACTGGGATAGTCTACAAATGATACAAATAAGTAGCATAACGCCTGTTCCACTAGCAGTTGCACATGTTCAGTGTTTGCAAACATGGTATCTGTTCTTATTCTATAGCAGCTCATGCAATGCTTTGCAGAACCTCACATAACTGCCTGTGTAACAGGATAATGCAGCATTATTGTGCTTGTGGGGATTTTCAGCTTGCTAGTCTTAAGCTGGTTATATGCTTCAATGCCCTGTCTTTTACTGTAAAATTATCTCTTTAGCAGACTGCAGCCATCTTGGTGTCCTGTACTTGAGTTACAGTCCAGGAGTTAGAAATCATGCTATAACACACATTTTTAATCCAGGAAATACATCAGATGGAGAAGCCACTACAGTGATGAAGAGATGGGCAGCAGACAAAAGACATACAGAGTACAACCAGCCTCCTCATAACGATAAAGTCATCTCAAGAGCATTAGCAAAAGAAACTCTGTCTAAAGGGTCTGAAAAATGAGTCATGGAAGCCTGTTTTGTGGCATAAAAGCCGTTTCTAAGAATTGTGTGGAAAGGTCCTCCACAACATTAGCTACACCTCTTCACTAGAGTTGGATATGATATTATTCCTTTATCACTACATGGCTTATTGGGTGGTAACATAATTATCAGCAATAAAGACCAAATGTGCACTCTTAAGATGTAACCATTGGAAAATGACTTGGACCTTGAAGAATGACAAACCCATCTAGATATAAAGGGAGTGGAGCTTTGCAACTTTTTAACCTCAGTTGAAAGGTGATTTTTAGAGATTCCCCCCCCCCTCTTCAGACCATCTATTCCAAAATATTGTGGCCCTCTGGAACAGCAGGATAGGGAGAACTGTGAGCTGCGGCAGTAAAACAGAAATCACCCAATATCAGCTCCTTACTCCTTCTAGGCATGGGATTGTCCATGCAGCCTTTAATACAGGGTTTCACTAACCATCAACTTATGTGTGCAGTTTCGATCTCTTACCATGTTGTTGTTATGAGCCATCAAGTTCGTTCTAAATTATGTTGATCCTAATAGGGTTCTCAAAGTATGTGAGATGTTGAAGGAGTGGTTTACTACTGTGCCCCACCCTACCATGAGTGCCAATGGCAGAGCAAGAATTTTAAGGAAGAATTTATTTTTTCACTACAGTAGGGTTTGAGTTCTTACTGTTGTTATATGCAATATTTCTTCAGATAAATTCATTGTGTGATCGTTTTCAGATACATGCAAACTTTACATTTTCTTTTCTCAAATCGTAAAAATGAATCTTATTGCTGGCAATTAATAGTGTAAGATAAATTTATTTGCAAAAGATGGTCAAGTACAGTATCTAGGCAGAATCAACCCATGCTTTTATTATCATTGCATATAAAAAGTTCATATGAAGGTATTTGACGTACAGTACTATCCCATAGGCTGTAAGAGAGGCTAATAAACCATTGAATTATTTGCAATGTTCACACAATTAGCCACTCTAAAGACATACCCAGAGGAAACAAAACCAAACTGAAAACAAAACAAAAAATATTGTTCAGTAATTCTGTTGTCATAGTATCCCTTTTATACTGTTTAAAACAAAAGCAATCATATTCCTTTGGGCCAGGGCTGCTAAAATCTACAGTATGTGTCAAGAAGGAGGCTCTGTTTTTTTCCTTAAAAAAGATCCTCTCCTTTCAACTGAACAGTCACATGCTACAAGGGCTGGGCATTAATGGAATGGTGACAAGCTATTTGTTACTACAAAACTACGTGATCCACAATAGCAGCAAGACACTTTTAGGACAATGCAAATTTTTTTTCCAAAAAAAACCCCATATAAGTGTTTAAAAGTTCTAACGGGATACAGTCAGTCTCTACATCTCTGCTACACACACATCCACAGATCCATTTATATAGAAGCAAGCTTTGGCTGCTCAAAACACTTAATATTAGTGTGGGGGGGGTAGTTGTGCTTTACTGTATAATATAAACATAGGCCTAATTGGGAGAGTTACTATCCTAATAATAATGGGCATAAGCTGCCTTGAGACCAACATGAAAGAACACCTTTTTTTCAAAGGAACTGGAGCAGAAAACTAGTTCTCATATTTATTAAATGGTAGCTGTGAGATTTTTTCTTTGCTTTTTCCCCCTCTGCTTTTAAGAAAGGGGGAGATTAAGATACATTTTAAAAGGGGGAATGTCCTTTGTCAGGCTGGTGGTAATTTATATGCATATATGTTAGCATTTGGGTTGCAGTAGGGTCCTGGAAAAATCTTGATGGAAAAAGGGGCATCCTATACATGAGGCCAAGACCAAGAGTCCCATTAAAAAAAACCATAGACACACACACAAAAAGGGCCGTAGAGATATGCCCAGCCCATATTTCACAACGACCTATCTTTCAAATGCAGCAAAACAGAAGAAAATATTGTTTAAAGTTAAGGCACAGCCCTGGGACCAAAGACCTGCAGTTTTAATTTATATATCATATTTTTCTCAACTTTTCCATAAACAAGCTCTAAGGTGATATAGGATATATTACAGAGAGGGAAATGTACAAGAGGAGTATGTATACACAATATTAATTCTCTCACCAAGAGTTTCCAAATATAACACCACCACCCTGTCAAGGATGATGTTATAATAAGAACTTATAATTTACAAGTAACATTACAATATATACATTACAATAAATACATGGTTGTAAACAGAGACAAACAAGACTTATTACAAGTAAGGTCATTTGGTGAGAAAAATATGCATGGCACGAATAAAAAAATAAATAAATGCATTTAAAAAGAACTGCCAAAGTTTTCTGTTAAAATTCATTCCATTTTCAATGTATGTTTTTAAAAAAAGCTTGGATGTGATTTGTTCTACCTATATTGTCTGATCGTATTTTTTTTTTTACAATGACATAAAGCCAGAATTTAAGAGGAAAGAAACACAGCATTACTAAGAAGAAACAGTAACTTGCAAGCTGAAGTGTAGATGCAAATTTAGGTTCCTCTTCCTCTCTTCTTTCCCTTCCTCTCTGCACCAAAGCCAATTCATTGCCTTTTTCTTATGGCAGAAACACAGAAAACGTGTGAAGCCACTTTCCAACAGTATTGTTTTTTTAAAGAAGCGTTAAATGCGGCTGCACACTTTGGCAAAAGGGAAACCAAAAAAAGATTGTACAGTGCATTCTATCCCTGGCTCTAAAATTATTATGTCTTCTACCATTTGATTGTCCATGTGTATGGGCATTTTAAACACAATATGGTTGCATTACCTACACATCTGCATTTTCCACAAGGGTTTAATCTGAAATGGAGCACCCTAATGAGTTCCAGCAATGCACGATACCTTCTGGAAATTAAGTGTCTGGGAATTCCCATTAAAAACAGAAGTTGTTCACAGGACTGAATTCATGCTTCTACTGCTGTATCCTCACAGAATCAAGAGTTCCCACAAAATATAAGCCGCTTGCTGGTTCAGGGTAGAGGGCATCTCCATCACAGGATGAAACTTGCAATGCAGGTAAGTAAATACCCTTCCAGGTCCGTATTGATTTTTGGAACTGATATTGCTTTTTATTCATTAAGATTCCAGGCACTCTGGGGGTCTGGACAAATGTTGAAATAATGAATGGGAGGACATGAGCCTATTCTCACAAGAACATGGAAAGATTCTTCCATTCACTTTCCCAACTAGTTCCCCCTCCCTCAATAAAAGCCATTAGGAGCTAAAAGGTAGACTGAACACATGAAAATTGCACTTTAAGAAATACCCTTAGACAGTACTTCCATTTAAAATCTGATACACAACTATGTCCCAAAGCATTCCTTGGTTCTGCTAACTAAGTACAATGGCTTGGAACCATACAGTAGCTTAGATCCAGACTAAATGGATTAGGTTGCAGTGCCACTGAAATCAATGCCACAAGTTAGTTGTATCAATGGAACTGAAGCATGGGGGATTTCATTGTGATCTGACCCAATTTTGGTTTTCATTGTGGCCTTATCATTAAAGCCTCATGTGACAATGGTGCTCCAGTTCTGGGATTATTGTAACCATACAAGGACCTTCCATATAGAGAATAGCTGTTCAATGTACATTAGGAATACTCACTGAATATGGAAGGTCTGTGCGGATGGGAATAGTTTTTGGAGTGTAACTCCCAATATGACTACTGGCCATGCGGGTGTGTATATGGGGGTGGGGTTTCAGGTTCTTATAGTATGAAAAAAAACATTTTTTTCCAAGCTTCTGAAAATACCCTATGCTTATAGGACAGCAGACAACGATTCCACTCAAAACCATGCATTTGCCCATGGCACAGGAAAAGTGAGGATGCCTCATATAATTTAACATGGCCATAGAGCTGCTTTCTGATCACTATGTCAGTATGTATGCACATTCCCCCACTGTACTAATTTTTTTGCTAATACCACAATCCAGATAAGTTCAACATCCATTGAAGCTGTAAGCCTTAATTATGGTTCTGTAGTGTCTGTATTTTGTCCTGCAAATGCTTTTTTTAATGGTGGTTTTATAGGACAATGTAGTCTACATCCCTTTACCCTAGACATGACTTCTCATCACGGCAACTTAATGACTAGGGAACAAACTCTTGCTTAGAAAATAAATCCAAATTTGCTGATAAGACAAAAAAAAATGCATGCTTCCATAACATGCTGGCAGATGTCTGTTTTTTTTTTTTTTAATCATGCAATAGATCTTGGAGCAATCAAACTAAGAAGTCACAAGTCTGGTTTTAAAAAGCTTTTTAAAGCAATTATCTCCAGTCCTTACTGAAATGTATTATGCTTTAATTCTATGCACATTTACCAAGGGCTAACTCCTATGGAAATCAGTGGAACTTACTTCAGAGTAAAAATACATACAATTATGCAGCAAGAACAAAACAGAGCTAGGAGATGGGCTGAATGGACCGGAATGTTTTCCACACAAGAAAAATTCGGCTAGGAATACATACTTTTGTCTTTGTTTGGTTTTTGCACAAATATAGCGTGTATGCTCTGTTGTCCAAACAATCCGTATACCTCAATGCTCAGTATGTGTTTTCTGGCACAACATGTATTTGAGGCAGGTTATAAATGCTGTTACATGCACAACTAGTAACAGCCTAGTGGAATGGGAATAATTTAATTAGCAAACAAAAAAAGATTTGTATGTATAACCAGAAAGTTATAGTCATGCTGTCCGGTCACCCAGATTTTCTTCTCGGGAGTTCCCAATGTTCAGAGCTTTCTCAAGGTCCTATCTGCTGCCACTATTATTTGTCACCATATTAACACCTTCTGGACTTCTTTGTGTTTACTTGGAGGGAGCTTTGTGATGTCACCCACCATTTGGTTGCAACTCACATTCTAAAGCACTGCTAGTCTGGTGATCACTAGATTTCGACTTCTTTTTTTCCTTCCTTCCTTCTTTTTTTGGTTGAGCATGTTAAACTGAGAGAAGTAAAGATTAGATCTGCAGGACTAAGCCATGTCTGAAGACAATGAGCTCATTACAGATGATGTATTGCTGCTCTTAGGATATTACAATAAAAAAAAGAAAAGCCAGAAATTAATGCCAATAAATTAGTTTCTGCAACACCAAAGGACTGGGGGAGGGGGCACTAAAAAGAACATTTTATAGATTGAATTGGACTAGAAAACGAACATAAGAGCTGAATGAATTGCTATGAAAATCTAAGTGCAAACAAATACAAAATTCAATTTATCCAGTGTAGCATATATTTGTACTGAAAACTTGCAAGTTACTTGGGATGGGGAGGGGGGGGTGAGAACCAGTGGCAGATGAAATTCTGATGGTGTTGCATTCTTTTAAATATAATACCTCAGTACATTTAATAATAAAAGTAAACTACAAAAGATTTCTGTTGTACATATTATACAAAATGCAGCTGTCAGTGCAACCCACTGAGCCACACTTTTTTTTTTCAGTCATGTGTCAGGAAGACTTGAAATTAGAAAAGTATGTGATTTCCACAGCTTCATCTTCCTACTGATAACAGAGTCAGTTGTGTCCCATGATTTGAGTGCACTTATTTTCCACTAGAAACTCTCTGGCCACTTCAGATTCTGGTTCACCTGCTAGCCACTTTCTTCAGATTCTGTTGAAATATGCTACGAATTTCCTTTCATGAAAATTAAAATCCAATACAAACACACACACACACACACACACACACACACACACACACACACATGAGCTGTGGACCAGACTTTACTCCTTTTGAAAATATTTTGGTGTAGACACACCCGCTGATCTTCTCTGCCAAGCTGAACTCTTATTAAGCTGTTATTTGCAGGTGTTTTCCTTTGCTCTCTGATGCCATGGAGATGAACAATTCTGGCTACAATATTCCTGAGTGCCAAACTGAGTAATCAAGTCAGTTTTTGATCAACACACATCTCCGGCAGATGACAGTGAGTCGTGACCATGGTTGTGCCGTGTGACATGCACTTGGGAAACCATTTTCTTCCATTTTTTTTAAAGCAAGAAAGAGAGAGAGAAGGACAGAGAGAGCTGTGGGATGATCGCACTGTTACGTGTCAGGTGAATGTTCTTCTGCAGCACAAGGTTCTGCTGTGCTCTCCCCATCCTCTTCCTCCTCCACGGCTTCCTCTCCCACTTGTTCATCAAGTGGAATTTCGGTGGATTCTGAGTCCTGAGTGCAAAGCGTCTTGGAGTCACTGCAGCTCGTATCTTCTTCCACCTGACTGCCACTGTCCTTTTCTGTGTCCGATTCACCATCTTCCTCTAGTGTTAGCTCAAACTGAAATTTGTCTGTTTGGCCCTGTCTTCCCTCCTCTTGGTCATCTGGGGCAGGAGATGGACTCTGAGGGATTGTGCTCTGGTACCATTCACGATTGTCCTCCAATGTGTCTAAGATATCCTGGGCATCTGGATGTACAAGGTCTGCCCACGTCTCCCACAGAGGGTGAACTATGTAGTCTATAAACCCCACCTGTTACAAAATTGGGAAGGGGAGAGATGTTATTCCAGAAGACTTTGTCAATTTGTCCAGTAATACTGAGAAAACTAGCCAATCAGAGACATTTTGCAACATTCCTTTGTCCTCCTGCATCCTGACTCTTAAATCACTCTTCAGCGTTACCATTATTCAGGGTCAATAAATCTTTTCTGGGCAGACGTATCCAACATTTATTCTCACCATGAATTTAATTCTCCATTCCAAAGGAAGGGATACAATCTTCCATTCCTTGGAACTCAAGATCCAACACATCTCTGGCAAGTGAACACCTGACCTCCTCCATAGTTGAGGAAAGAGACAAAACTCTCTGATAGATCACATTTTAGGAACCAGCAGGAAATTTCACAGCTTTCCAGGTGGGATTCCTGCCTTTTTACCAAGCTTTTGACTCCAGCAAGGCATCACAGATTCCTCACAGTTACTCAAGCACACAGGAAAAGCAGGTGCGCTCCTTGAGTTTGTATTGTGGCCACAACAAAACACATATTGGCCAATAGTTTTAAGACACTGAGTATATATATATATTGATCCTTGATCACTGTACTGAAATCCCTTCACTTTCCTCTAAAAGTAAACTTTTATTTATCTTATGTGAATGGTAACGTCTGTCTGTTATTTATATAACAAAGAGCTATGACTGTGTTAAGTAAAAGGTATTTAGTATTCTGTGAACTGCACTGCCTACTGCTGTCTCATCAGTCTGTATTAAATAAATTACCTGTGATTTTTCTACTGATGCATTGTGCTTATCACACATGGGACTTATCTCCATGCCCCTCTCTCTTTCTCGATCTCCCTGACGAAAGAACTCTTCCATTATTCTATCTGTCCACTGGCGATACAAGTGGAGTGGCTTTGTTGGGTTACTTAGATCTGCACAGTGTACCATATTTTGTAGAACCTAAAACAGAGAAAGAAAGAAAGAAACCTTAGGATATTCTTTTCTTTATAGGGAACATATGGTGTTATTCCACTGGAGACAAAGCTCTTTTTCCATTTGCACATTTGGTGAGTGTGAAAACAGAACCTTAAAAATACATGGAGTGCAAGGTTTATTCTGAACAGCAAGGGGATGATGTGCTGTGTGTTTTTCACACTGCCATTAATAGCCTCCCAATAATCTCACATCTGCAGTTACTGCCTCTAATAAAAGGCCAAAAACGTTGTAAGTGCAAGACTGATCAGTTTCAAAGAAATGTAAGAGTTAATCAAGGAACATAAACTGGTTGCTTTCAAGTATAGGAAAGTAATTCAGTGGCTGAGAGAATGCAGCTTTCCATGCAAAATATGTCTAATAGGTATATACGATACCCAGGAGAGATTATTATTTCTGGTTCGAAAAGCAGAAGGCAGTGCAGGAGGCAAAATATGTAAACTGTACAGGAAAGAAAAGGATAATAAAAAGAGATGGGATCAGTGTTTATAGCATGTAGCATTTTACCTGAATCCTGTCTGAATAATTATCCAGAAGCAGAACTCCGGAGCTAGTCACCTTCTTGGTTTCGACCATCGTTTTCAAATCAGCTAACAGATTCATATGCTTAGACATATCTGTTGCAAGCACCTTGGACAACAAAAGCAAATGACAACTCATTAAAACTATGTTTACATTTTGAACTTATTATGGGTTTGTGTGGAGTTTAAAAGATAAATGCTAGTGATATATGCTAGTGATATAGTAGGCTAAGGATCAGACTTGTTAGTCACTAGTATATACAGTCCTTGATCCATTTTGCCTAGGACTAACATTTGATGTGATCTTAAAAAAACAAATTCTATTTAGACACTTACTGCAGAAAGCTTTGTAAGGACAGAACCGATTATCAAAAAGGATTTCTTCAGGACAAAGAATGTTCACTTCAAACTCAGCATGATTTATTTCAGAGTTGGAGGTGAAATGAAAAAAAAATCTAGGCAAGGCAGAGTGGTAGGACTATCATGCTACTGAGAATCTGTTTAACTATGAGAGAATCTAACTGTGTGAGAGAGAATATATAATGCTTTTGAAATACATCCTCTTTTGCACTATTTGGTGTGTTATAGACCACATAGCCAACCATAAAACAGTTTATTTGCTGCTAAACGTAACTTTGCATGCTGCATACATTTGCTGAAATGTGAAGTAAACTAAATGGCAACTTACAATGTCAATGACCATCTTTCTCAATGATTGCCTCTGCTTTTTTGTCAAATTCTGGAAAATGTCACAGTTCTCCTCCTGCAGTAATTTGAAGCCCACAGCTAAATGATGGTTTTCCAAGACTGATGAATCATTGTACATCAAGGCGAGTTCAGAGTCTGCAAGACAGCCAGACGACAGAATGTTAGAAATGCCTATGCCCCTTTCCTTCCACAAAAGTTCTACTTCTGATTTCTCACATTCTTAAGGTATCCAAAACATTCCACTTATAGTTCAGACAGCTGAAACAGCACTTTGTTCCTCTTTATCAGCCTTGGGCATATGTCTCTGCAGCATGACAGCTGGTATATGTCAAATGAAAAGAGCAAAACAGAACAAAACTGGATTTGGAGCTATATCTAGTGGCCTTTTCACTACACCATGTTCTGGAAGAAAGGGGTTTTGCAAAATTCCAAGAATAAAAAAGAGACATCAGCAAACTGAGGCTAATCATTGCCAAAATCTGCAGTAATGGTATACTCTCCATCCGGCAAATGTTCAGCAAGCCTCCAATAAAATTGTGGAAACTGCCCTTGGACACAAAACAGTCTGCTGCACGTACATCATGTCTGATGGAACAGAGGGCTCCCTCCCTCCCCTTCTGGACCTGACATATTTGTAAAAAGCCAGGAGCACAGAGCTGTCAACTTGTTCCTCTGCCATAGTTTCAGGATATAGCAACTGCACTGTATAAACCTACGTCATCACTCATTTGACTAGTGTCTCCCCTTTGTGAAAGTTTGCATTGTTTTGGTTCCCCCTCGTCCAAAAATCATATTGTTACAAAGTCTTTCCAATTGGCATTTAGACACACAGAGACTGAATATTTAGAACCTATTGTTGTAGTTTCTTTTGCATGTGTTCTTCCCTTGCGTTGACTGGTCCCAAAAAGGCAGTTTCTAATTTACCATTGCTTGATGCTGCCAAGAACTCCAGAGGAATGTTATTTAATATCCAAATGCAAATCTCTTCAAAGAGCATTCTTTTGTTTATTTCAGTTTATACATGGTCAAGAAATCAAGTTTTTGGGTTATCCGACATCTTGGACAACCCAAAAACATAAAACAGTTGTTTTGCCATTACTTAGACTCCCTAAAAAGGCATTTGTAGGAAAACAACACCAAAAAGCCTGGATTTTATTCCCTTACATTTATCTAGATGCTTTGGAATGAAACACCATTTGTCATTAGTTGACATTAATTTCTACATATTCTATTTTCCAAGTCCTAAAGCTAATTGCATCTGTCTGCTCTACTGGCTGTCCTTGTATCTGTATTCCCCCCCTCCCCCAAAAAGAGTTCAGTCATAAAATCCCCACTCTGTTGTTTCAATTTATTTTCCTGCAGTCTCACTTTCCTGTATTAAACACATGAAATAGTTTTCTCCCAAAGGTACAACATGAGAAATAAGGCCTTGTTTGTCAATGAAATCTCCTTTTATCTCATAATCACATCTGAAAGTATGAAGCGTCAAAACAATACCAACAAAATTCTACTTTTTAGAAAAGCAACCTCCCACACTGAATGACTGAATCATAAAAACCTTAAGCTTTCAAAATGCTGAATTTCTTCAAAAAGTTATTTTAAAAGAGGAGTAAGAAAAACTTCCAGTAATTATCCACTTGTCGTGATGTGGCAAGAAGTCTGTAATAACCAAAGAACGGTAGATAAAAGGGTATCTGGACAGATTAGAATATTGTACGTGGGCTGGTTGGAGGATCATTTTTGAGGCTTATTCTTACGTATACATTTTTTCAAGTCCTTTAATTTGTAAATAATTGCCAAACAGTTTTGAAATGAACAGACTTATAGCAAATGGCATGTGGATTTTTGCTGGTGAGCTCTATGGCTATGATGACAGAAGCAATCTTGTAACCTGAGAAAACATTTTATCCAAGCAGTGAAAAAGACCTGTCTTCTCTTCGAATCTTTCCTCTCTAGGAGGTGTATATACAAGCTTTGAGGCAGTTGGCGGGGAGGGGGGAGAGGGAATGTGGAAATAGTCTAGAGCAGGGGTCTCCAACCCCTGGTTTGCGGCCTAGGCAGGACTGGGCCACTGACACAGATCTCCTCCCCCCCACGAGCGCCATCTGCCCCCACAAGCGCACCATGTGCATGTGTGCAAGCGGCCCCTCTGTGCTGTGCGCACGTGTGTGGGAACGCCCCACCCTCCTGCGGGTGCACCACATCCCCACGAGCATGCCACACACCCTGTGTGAGCGTGCCATGCCCCCCTCAACCAGTCCATGGTTGGAAAAAGGTTGGGGACCACTGGCTAGAGACAGGAAGAGTTGCCAGGAAGAATAGCAGGTAGGGAAGCAGCCACTCTGCCATCACAACGGCATTACATCTAACTGCTGTGGGGCAGCGTAACAAGGAATGAAATATGAGGAGCCAGTGTCAAATCTTGCTCAAAGGTTCCTCCAGGTAAGATCTCATCCCTTAGCTCTTTAAGCAGCAAGGAGAAGAAGAAAGGGGTGTGCATGTTGAGACGAGGTGGTGAATATTGCTAGCACGCTTATTTTCTCTTCAGAGCTGCCTGGAAGCCCCAGCTACTGCATCTGAGGAAGTATGACAACACATAAGACCCAGAGTAAGAACTGTTCTGAGTCACCATTTGGTACAGTATGAAAATCTCCCAGCCTGTATGGTCATTAGGAGTCCAAAAAAGCAAGTCTTCCAAGCTTTGGTTTGAGTGAATTGATGTGGAGATAAAAATACACCCAATCCCCCATTTGCCGAGAGAGCGGAGACACACACATGCTGAATTGCAGCAGGATGTAGGGAGAAACTGGGTATACCCAAAAGGGCAAAAAAGGTACAGAAGAAGTATCTCTTTTGTTTTCCACATACTGAATGCCAAGTACACAGTGGGCTGTCAATGTTACTAGAAATAAATTGCACTTACTTGTGTTTATAAGAAATTGGTTTGAAACCCCAGGGTGATCAACATCATGTATTGCACTGGCAAAAATAGCAGCCAGAATTTCCAGGTCTGTGAACACCGCCTGACGTAAAAAAAGGAAGAGGGAAGGGGGCAAAGAGAGGGACAGAACAAAATTGAAAAAAAATAACTGAATACTTTTTAATGAAAGACAAGTGCACTGATTTCCTCCACTTCCCTGCATAAACACTTAACAGAGAGCCTAACCATATGGTCACTCCTCCCTTATAAACAGATGATGTAAGCCCAGCTAGAAACAGCTAGGAAACAAAATTGGTAGGCATTGTTTGCAATGAGGGGCCAAATTTTAAGTCTCAAAATGAATGCTCTGCTCCACTGATAATTAGTTTAACCCAGAAACCAGATCCAGAACTCTGCATCTGATGTTCACAGCTTTGATAAACTGCCATATTTGTGACAACTGCAGGGTCACTTAATCTAAAACATTTTGTGTGGCTACTCTTACATTTATTCTGAGAATACAAGTCAACTATGTACCAACATACTGATATTACAATTTAATATGGGATATATATATATTTTCCTAACAATTTCTCTTTGTTTTGCCAAAGTGCATTGAGACAAATTCAGAGAAAGTCAATCCTGATTAATTTTTTAAAGACATCTGAATACTTAAAATTTTCCATTTTCTACTGAATTTATTCTGTTCAACTATTCCTGTTTCATTAAAATTTAATAAAAGCATAATTAAAGAACTCTAATCAGAGTTTGATCAGATGTTTACTCATGTAACTTCTGTTTAAAGTAGGTTTGTTACTTTATGAGAATGTCATGTTTATATAAGCATGAGCATTAAAGATTCACTTTTGGAAAAGCAAACATATACAAACATAACTGAGAATTAACAAATAAAATTTATTTCCTTTTGGCTATATTCCAGTAAACAAGGGTAAAGATCTCTTGAAAACAGTGTGTGAAAGTAATCACTCATTAGTCAATGTAAAATATGGTGTAGCATTTCATATTAACTATATGAGCATCTATGTTTAATCCCATATTCAAATATATCTAATGAAAAGAAAGGGCAAATTTCATGGTTCTGTGATTTGTGCCATACATCTATACTCCTATTTCCTTTACTGTATTGCAGACTTACCTCCAAAGCAGGGGTTGACAGTAGCACATGTGTAGACTGTACAACGTCAGCAGCATGTATGTTGTTGTGATATGCCACATCTGCATGGTAATGGTCCTCCAGTGTCATCAAGTATGTTATTAACATGTCTGGTGGAATTTTAAATGTTTTCAGCAAATCGCGTTCCTGGATTGCAAAAGAGTAGAACAACTGAGTTTAAAATACTGTACACACAAAGGCTGCAGAAAGGCAAAATGGACGAAACTGCCTTTGGTTAAACTTACCTGGAAAATGGTATACATGATGACTGTTAAAGGTCGGTTCCCAGATAATTCAGCTATTTTAAATACTTGGAGGCCCCATTTGTTTACATCTTCTAGTTCCTGAAATGTAAAAGGAAAGAAGAATCCAATACCTGTTTTTCCCATGGGGTTGATGTAAAGCAACAACACTGGACTGCTGTCACCAATTTCAATCATATTCAAGAGCTCGGCATCCAATTTTCTAGACTTGATATTTGGGGGGTGGGAAGGGAAAATGCCTTGCTTCAAATGGAAAACTACTAAGATTGTTTTGCATGAATGGAAGTGAAATGCTTCTTAGTAACGGAAGAAATCATAGAAAGCCTCCGGAGATGCTATAATCCCGATTTCTCTCCCAACTCATTTTTTAAAAACATTAATGCTCTTGAGTACCAGAATGGTCAAATGACAAAACCAGGCTGCTGTTTTCTCCTTTTGTGCAAACATGCTGTGATGTTCTACTAAAATCCTATAGATACTTTTTTTGTTTAATCTCTATTTTCTTCTGTTTTCAGTGTTTTAACTACAGCTCTCTTTACTTTGACCTGCACTACCATAAAATGAATCAAAATTTTTACCTGGCTTTTAAAATTACTGTTTCCCTTATCCCTAAGAGAATAATATAGCATAAAGCCCTGAAACTGATCTAGCAATGTAACATCAGGGCATGTTTCTGAGTGATAAGGACTTGGCCAGTTGGTCAGCAGCATCCCTCTTACCTTGGCCAGAATCTCTTCTTGGTCAGTTTTGACTCCGAATTTTGGGATGCTAGAATTGGTCAAACTGGAGCTGTGCATCAGTTTTTTCACTCCACTAATCTGAGACATAGGCCGTTTCTTCTTTTCTTTGTCTTTCTGTGTTGGGGATGGGATTTCCACTTCATGTTGTTTGTCTTTGAAAGAAGAGAAAAAACAGCTATATTTTCTGTGTATTAGAACTCTCTCTCTTGAGAGAGGGAAAAGAATCAACAGGAATGCTAACACAGCCTTCCAAACTGTTCACAAGTTAGAGGTGCAGGTGGAGAGTGAGAGGATGGCAAACCCAGTCAACATGGTTGACTGGATAAAATCTAGATTTAAATCCAAGCTTGGCCACACATCTATTGAGACCTTAAAACACTTCATTCACTCTGAATTCAATGTTGACATTATCACCATTGCACACATGGAGCTGCACAACAGGATTTCAGCTACTGAGAGAGAGTGATATTCATATAATCATTGCATCACCCGAAATTTTCAACAAATGTTCAAATGCAAGGTCCTCGTTGTCCAAAACCTAAGCTATCATAGCAGCACTGCCCTGAAAAGTTAAGTAACAACAATGCACACACAATCACACACATACACACACACACCAATATTTAAGATTTCCTATTATGCTTTCATCCAAAACATTTGGTCCCTGAGCCGACTTCAGCTGCAAATAAGATGTTGGAAGAAGACTTTAACAGAAAGAACTAAATGGTTGCCTTTGCATTGTCAGGTATTGGGCTCTGTGGCAGATGGAGAAACACAAATGCTGTAATGTGACAGAACTAGGACAGCTGCTGAATAACTGAACTTGACACCATTTGGAGAAACAGGACGAACACAGAAACTCAGCATATGCATGATTACCACAATATGAAAGGTATACTGTTCTCCATTTATTCATCGGATTGCACCAATAACCATCCCAGTAATAGNACAAGAAATAGCAGTGATTGAGATTTACTTAAGATTCGGGATTTCACCATGTATCATTTTCTCAAACAGAACCTTAGGGACATTTCTCTCTTGAACAATTCTAAGCATAGTTAAAACAACAAGTGTTGGAGGAACAGTTACACATTTCAATATATTTCGATATAGATTCCATTGACAAGGCAGAATTCTTAAACGATCTCCCAGTTTTTAACAAAACAAATATCGGACCGGCAAAATGCATTTTTCATAATTTCAAGATACATTTATTGGCTAATCTGGCAGAGAATTCATATGTTAATTCCCTACATGTTGTCTGCACTCAGATATAATGGTCAGAATCCTATTGCTTATACATGCCAGCATGGATACAATGACACACATCACAGCTGATAGTTAAGAAGATGCCACTGCATGATGAAAAAGAAAAATGGCAACACTGTGACTTATGCCTGCTCATATAAACAGTAAGATTAAACCATCATTTAGTGTTAGATGAGCAAATCACATAATTAAGTGTTCCTCCTTCGCCGCCTCCTTCAGTATGGGGAAAGAGATTGGAAGTACATGCTTAAGTGTTCACAAATAACCACAGCCAGCTGTTTTGGCCAAATTGGGCCAAACTATAAAGGTAAAGGTAAAGGTTCCCCTTGACAATTTTTGTCCAGTCGTGTCCGACTCTAGGGGGCAGTGCTCATCCCGCTCTTCAAGCCATAGAGCCAGCGTTTGTCCGAAGACAATCTCCGTGGTCACATGGCCAGTGTGATTTAAACACGGAACGCTGTTTACCTTCCCACCGAGATGGTACCTATTTATCTACTCGCATCTGCATGCTTTCGAACCGCTAGGTTGGCGGGAGCTGGGACAAGCAACGGGCGCTCACTCCGTCGCGTGGATTCGATCTTACGACTGCTTGGTCTTCTGACCCTGCAGCACAGGCTTCTGCGGTTTAGCCCACAGGTTAGTTTTAATTGCAGCTAGACTGAAATGTGGTTTCTTATCATTTGTTGTTTTATGTCATTAAGTCATGTCCGACTCTTCATGACCCCATGGACCAGAGCATGTCTTCCACTGCCTCCTGGAGTTTGGTCAAAGTCTTGTTGATGACACTGTCCATCCGTTTCGTCCTCTGTCATCCCCTTCTCCTCTTGCCTTCACACTTTCCCAACATCAGGGGCTTTTCCAGGATGTCTTCTCTTCTCATGAGATGGCCAAAGTACGGGAGCCTCAGCTTAAGGATCTGTCCTACCAGTGAACACTCCGGGTTGATTTCCATCAGAATGGATAGGTTTGCTCTCCTTGCAGTCCGGGGGACTCTCAAGAGTCTCCTCCAGCACCAAAATTCAAAAGCATCAATTCTTTGGCAGTCAGCTTTCTTTATGGTCCAGCTCTCACTTCCATACATCACTACTGGAAAAACCATAGCTTTGACTATGCAGACCTTTGTCGGCAAGGGGATGTCTCTGCTTTTTAAGATGCTGTCTAGGTTTGTTATCGCTTTCTTCCCAAGAAGCAGGTGTCTTTTGATTTCGTGGCTGCTGTCACCATCTGCAGTGATCATGGAGCCCAAGAAAGTAAAATCTGCCACTGCCTCCATATCTTCCCCTTCTATTTGTCAGGAGGTGATGGGACTAGTGGCCATGATCTTAGTTTGTTTGTTTTTTTGATGTTTTGCTTCAGACCATTTTTTGCGCTCTCCTCTTTCACCTTCATTAAGACGTTCTTCAGTTCCTCCTCACCTTTTGCCATCAGAGTGGTATCATCTGCATATCTGAGATTGTTGATATTTCTCCCAGCAATCTTAATTCTGGCTTAGGTTCCATCCAGTCCAGCCTTTCACATTTCTTATCATAGCTTGTTCCAAATAGAACTGTTTAAATTAACTGGAGCTATCTATCCAGACAAAATAACAACTTGCAGATAAATTAAAATAGAAGTATATACTTCTATCACTTCTGTGCCAACTATGCAAAGAAGCAGAAAGAAGGGCTATATACTGAATAATATGTTTTTACTGGGACAATGTAAGGGCAAGAATATTTGTTAGGGTGATGTACTTCCTTTCTCCTCTACTCCCCTCTGCACACATAGAAATAATCTCTGAAAAGGGCACAGAATCTGAAGTTAGTCTTTTTCAGCCACAAATCGATGAGATTTTAATGAGGTTATAAATATGCTCAAAAGAGAACAAATTTCGTGCAAAATACAGTAAGAAATGTGTTTCCCCTTTAAATCATTTCATAGCTAAATGAGTGTGTGTGTTGAAGGCCCTTTGTCCAATTCTTGTCTAACATGTTCAGGTTTTCCTTTATGGATGCTGCAATGCATATACTCAAGCCCTTTATTTATTTTATTCTATTTATACCCCGCCTATCTGGTCGAAATGACTACAAGTGAGTAAATTATTTAAATAAACCATTACCCACTGTTTTTTGGTTCTTCTAATCCCTCCCCCTTCCCCACAAAACAGAAGTCTTAGCATAGGTCCATAACACTGATGAATATGTATACATTTATTCACATTAAAGACTTATATTGCTTAAAATAACAGGAGGAACCCTAGAGTATATTTCTATGGCTGTTTCTGTTCTCTCCAGCACAGTTGTTTTTTTTCCTTTCTCTCTTTCCTTAACCTTTCAGAACAGACTAGCACTTACTGGAAACAGCAAAGAATCTAAATCAGATCACTGCAAACAAATGTCACCAACTTCTAGCCACAGGCATTCAGACCCCTCTCATCCCTTTATTACTTCCTTCTGATCACCAATTAAATAAAACAGGGATGAAAGGAAGAGCCCATGAACTGGCGCTAACCAACAGTAGCTGAAGAGTAATGACTCATGTGCGTGCCTTGATGGTTATGATTTCAGTCATATGCACAAAGTTTAGAGACATCATAAGGGAAGATTCTACAGTGAGTTGTCACGTGAAGTCAAGTGTAAGGAAGTGTCTGTGCGGAATTTTTTTAGAAGAGCCATGGAATTCCAAGGGATTTCCTAAGGTTTTGTAGAAAGTGGGTGGCTAACACTTTCGGTGCTGGGAGTATTTTTCAAACCTCGAAGTCTTTCCTTCCTCTCCCTGCATCTCTTATACAAAATCATTAGAAAGGAATATCACCTGATTGACTTGCATCCAATTAAGTCATTTATGGGGCTGCACTTCACAATAGCCTGTGCAAAATAAAATTTCTTAGCCTTTAAGGTGCCACTAAGCTACTGATTGTTTTTGCTACAACAGACTGATATTGTTGCCCTCTAGGGGGGGTCCCATTATAACCATTTCCCAAGGGAAACAGACTGTACTGAAAACTGAGAAATTAATAAACTATGGCTGAGAATTGTTAAAGACTGACAACAGCAGCATTATTGATACTGGGATGTATTAATAATGGAAGAGAAGCACATTTTCACAAGGCTCTAAAAGGCAGCATTCAGACAATCTGGCAATGACTGGGACATGTCTTTGAATGACTGTACCACTGCAGTAGTAGTATCCGGGATTGCTTGTTCACCCTTGCCATCAAACCACCTCCACCTCTGCATGCAGACTACCTAGATATCAGGGGAAAGCGAGATTGTTGACATGAGGAAGCTTTCACAGAAGCAACTCCTCCATTTGCATTCCAGGATGGTGCATAGTCAGGTGGTTATTCAGATGAGATCTTAAGAACTGAGTGCACTGTGTATTATTGTGCTCCAAAGCTCTTTAAAACCAATTGGTCTGCTTCTTGACATGCCAGAGGGCTATGATCCTGCTTCTAGGATAGGTCAGATTATGGGCGAATTGTGGATGCATTTCCTTGGGGTTTGTTTTTACTTCTTCATGCAGGAAACACAGATAGATGCCGAAGTCTCCAGGTTTCTTCCCACTAATCAGAATGAGAAACATCTTCTAAAGTAGGTCATCTCTGCAAGCAATCTTATCTCAGCTTTTTCACAAAGTTTCTAAAACTAGGCTAATAAGTTCCTCTGCCTGGGTTCATGAAATCATGGGTTTTCTAACCAATCCAACTAGGAAGCGTGAGAGGAATGTTTTGAAAAAAATTATTTTAGATGCATCTTCTAGACCAGTGGTTCTTAACCTTTGTTACTCGGATATTTTTGAACTGCAACTCCCAGAAACCCCAGCCAGCATAGTTGGTGGTGAAGGCTTCTGGGAGTTGCAGTCCAAAACTCCTGAGTAACCCAAGGTTAAGAACCAGTGTTCTAGACTACCCAGCAAGAAAAATGATAAAATCACTCTCTCTCAAACCACACACAAAAACTAAAGTGCTGTGGCACCTTTAAGACTAAGATTAATTTCAGTGTGGTCTTTTATGAATTACAGATCACTGCCTCAGACATGCCAGTTATCAAATATGACCAAATGTGGTCATATAATCACATATAATCAATACAACAACAATATGACAACAGCAAGACTATGAAAAACACTGTTCCAGAGAATTACCTACTTCTGTATCCCCATTAGTTTATAATTATCAGTCAAATATTCTGCCCCGTAGTGCAGTGGTTCATGACCTGATTTTGATCCTGACAGATTCAGGTAGCTGTCTGAAGGCTGACTCAAGGTCAGTAAAATGAGTACCCAGTTTGCTGGAGGGTAAAGTGTTCCTTGCATAATTACGTTGTAAACCATCCAGAGTGTGCTTTATATAAGTTGAAACAACAACGACAATTTTAAGTTAGGAACTGTGTCTTCAAATAGTCAATGATAAAGATCAAGGAATACTTGGTCCATGACTGCAGATGCCCTCTGAAGCCATTTTTATGGTCACTCGGCCCCTCAGTCTGTTAGATGAAGGCAAACACAGCAAGCTGGAAAACTGAGTCACAGGGCAGCAGCAGTCTGTTCAGCCCCAACAATGCCCTTATGTTCCCAGGTGTCCTCAGTCAGCATGTCAATGCCATTGACAGCAGGTTGTTCTGTTCTGCTAAAAGGAAGACACCTGATCTGCTATGTGGTGTCAAAGTATTCCTCAATATCACAGAGCAACTTCACTGAGGTGGTGGGAATGGATGTAGATTTGCAGCATGTAAATTCTTGAATACATATTTGTGCTTCATTTAACTACTTGTGGAATGACTAGTGGCAGAAATTAGTATTCCTGAAGATGATATTGTTCAATACCAGTTGAATCCAACAGTGGCTGTTATCAGAAAACACTTCCAGTTGTGCAAGGCAGCTATTCCTAACCTTTTCTTTCCACTACAACTGCCTGTGGTTATCCTTCAGAAGCTGCCCCTGAGGGATGAACCAGAAAGCATGAGATGCAACATAGAGGGCTGCAATATGGGGAAGGGGGTCTTTAGTGGAAACTAAATGCCCTTCCTTGTCTGAGATGAATCAATGAGCTACTTATACAAGCTGTACTCATGTGTGACAAGTCAAGTAATACTTGAGATTACTATTCTAATTTTCCAACTCCATCCTCAGTAAGTATTCTTAGAGTGAATTTGCTCTTGAAATACCAACCAATTAGGATATGGACTGTGCTGTGTTTAATAGTCAGTGCAGAGACAGTTTGCCAGAAGATACGTATGGGCTGCAATCGAATGAAGCAGCACATTGTTGTGAGACTTAAGGTGCACACAGCCACAATGCTGTTGAAGCTGCTGCTTTTTCCAAAGAGAACTGAATAGTAGCATGATTCTTGAGCAATGGGAAGGCTGTGGCATAATCTACAAATAAAGCCTGGCAGTACTGCTCAAGGGAACCTTATCTGTGTTTATCCAGAAGCAAATCCCACTAAATACGTTTGGGACATTACTCCTGTTAAACGACTTTAGTACTGCAGTCTTAGGGCATAAATGTCCTTTTCTATGCCTCCACACTTGAATGCAACTAAAACTATTCATCAAACAGAAAAAAATGGGCCTGTCATAAAATCACAGACTCATAGGAAAGTGCAGTTGGAAGGGGCCTACAAGACCATCAAATGTTGCAGAATACAGAGTTCTTGTTCAGTGCCTTTTTCAGAATATGCCATTTCCCTCTTTCTTCTGGTTGCTTGTCTTCCCTTCAACAGTTAATCTGTATTCTATGGGAAATGGGCATTTTTCGGCCCTCATTACATTTTCCCCACTTCAGTGATGTTGTTTTCTAAAGTTGTTGAGTGTTGCTTCTTTTCCAACAAACAAACAGGCAGTTTTGAGGTGCTCCAAACCTGCTGATAGCTTGCTTCCACATGTCAGTGGGAGACACTGTTTTGGCTGCATAAGCAACAACACTCACCCCTGAACACTAGAACTGATCAGACAAAGGGAATGTTAAAAACGGCAACTGGAAACAGGGATAAGCTGAAAATGTGTGCATATGGGATCAGTATATTTGCATGTCAGTCAGTATCTTTCAACAATCAACTTATTTATAAATCATGACAACATGCCCTTGTTGTTTTTAGAAATGTTGATCTATACTGCATTTAAGTCTAGTACAGATCTGGTCCTTTACCTCAGACTAATCTGTCACTAGCAAGGATGATATGTTTTTAATGGTGTCCCACGAAATATATGTGCATACCCACATAAGATACATATAAACATTCAGTGAAACACCTGAAAACTTTATTAAGTGCAATTTTGTGAACACTATGGGGCCACATTCAATATACAAAGGGAAAACCATGTTATAAAATAAAATCAAACATTGCATTTTTTAAAATTATTTATAGGCATATGGAACTTATTACAAAACAAAGTGCAGAAAGAGAAATTCTGCTAACCTTTTCATCTGTTGTCTAGTGGTAGGTCGTGGAGAAGAAGGAATAACATGGGGAGGGGGAAACCACAAGGAATACCTGTTTCCATTATTGTATGCTTACCTAAAAATGTGTTGGATATATATTCAGAGACCTGATTGCCCGATCGGCTCATTTCAGATAAGTGGGTTAGCTCTCGATTGAGCATTCTTTTAAACTGAAAAGAAAAAAACAGCACATGTAAATGAGTGACATTTATTCTCCTCGACATGAGTAAAGTTTTTAAAATATTTTAAAATTCAGTAAACCAATTAAGTTCAATGACATAATGAACAGTAAATTAGTATTCCAGGGAAATTTTCAAAATAAGGCATCACAAAGTACTATTCTACACAAGTCTATATAATTGTGGTTATGAATATAAATAATTTCATTGTTCTTGTCAAATTTACCAAGGTTTTTTTGGGGGGGAAAGTGACTCATTTAGATTTCTTGACTTACTGTATTCCCATTTTCACATGATGTATAAATGTCATTACCTAAACTGAAAATGTTCAAACCACCCGAACAATTTCAAGCATTCTTGTAGAAAGCAGTAACTAAAAGGTCAACAGTCCTTTCCTATTCACTAGGAGTATGTTTGTGTATCTAAACTTAGGTACCCAGTGATCTGACTGCCAAGGGAACCTGACTACTGACTGATGTAATTTTCTAACACAATATAAATAATGTATGGAAAAGTAAAAAACACAACACACATTTTTAATAGGGTCATGTAACAACTGAAGATGGTATATATTGTTTCAATTAGTGAACAATAATGTCACTGTCAATGGACACTGTGCTGCTTACCTAACTTGCATGCAATATTTAATTGTATTACTGTACTCTGAACTGTATACCTCTATTAGACTTTAGAGAGTCATGTCTGGAAGACAGGTTGATAGATCACATTGTGCAATGCTTACTGCAAGAAGGAAATTCCATTTCTAGAACCCTTACTTCAAGAGTGGCTAACTTTGGAACATCCAGGAGCCACACATTCCAGTCTCATAAAAATCTCCACCTACCCACTATTAAAATTCAATGGATATACTGTATAAAGTGTAAAAAGCGATTATTCTCATTTGAAAAACAAACAAACATTGTTCTAAAAGAAGGTGAGAAGTAACCATGCCTCTTATTCTAAAGGAGAATCATGTCTCTGGGAATATGAATCCTTGGTTTTATTGAGCCAATGCGATGTACTAGCTTTTAGGGTGCCTGGCCTACGGAAGAGGTGAAGGGGCCCAAACGGCCTTGGTTGCCTTCATGGTGATACCTGGATATGCCCAAACACAGTTTTAGAAGAGAAAGAAAAAGGCAGCACCTACGGGACTTGAACATGGTAACAGTGAGTTTGCAATCATAATGAAGGAACCGTTAGGCTAACTGAAGGTGAACTGCTAGCACCTCAGAAAAAAGAAAAGAAAGAAAAAGAAAAAGAAAGGAGGAGGTGACTAGATCCCAATCTGTGATCTCTATAGCATAAAGAAATATGAAATTGAGATATTTTAATGTTTTTAAAATGTTTTCAAAATTGGTTTTAATCCCGACCAATGTCTCCTGGTCAGTCTTCACTGGTGGCAGCACTCTTGAGCAGTGCTAATCAGTGGGGTCTAGCTACTTGGCAGGTGCTGATACTGTCCCTATCCACAGCGGTTCTATAAGCACATCTCTTATCCTATTAATTTATTACAAAATTGGTTGTTGTGGGTTTTTCGGCCTCTTTGGCCGTGTTCTGAAGGTTGTTCTTCCTGACGTTTCGCCAGTCTCTGTGGCCGGCATCTTCAGAGGACAGCACTTTCGTTATTACAAAATTAATCATGTGAATAATAATTATTGATTCTGGTTTTAGAAATGAGCAACATGCCCCAGACATGTCCTTTGGAAAGTCTTACATAATGTGGGATAAATACCATGGGCACTACTGTCCTATGGTGTCTTTCTGGAGTCAAGATGTTCTGCCTTGGGCATAACAAGAGTTCAAATCCTCTTGTGAATGGCCAGTCCTTGTGGGAATTCATCTTAATGCCAGAAGACAGCTGCTACTGATGTGATTCTGTTTTATGTGGTCAAAAAGCAGAGGAGGGATATCTCTCTGACTCCATGCCTACCATATTTTTTTTCACCAAGACTGGCTGGTATCATGGAAGTTTATTACTTGGCAGACAAAGAAAAGGCAAGTGATAGACATAACATGATCAGCATACCAAAAGTATATCAACTGAAATGAAAGTTCTGCTATTTTCAAGCTCAAGTTCCTTATTGCTCTCTCACACCTTTCCTATTTCTAATAGTACTTCCCTATTTTATATGCAAAATGGGAAAAACAAGGGATATGAATGGATGTCATATGTTTGGTTTCAGGTGGAGGACATCAGACATAAGTAAGACATCACACATAAAAACAGAGAAATCTACTAATAATCAAGAAGCTGTGACTTTTGATAGTGCCACAACATATACTGACTATTCTCCTCTCACAGTTCTCTCTTGGGAGAACTGAACAACATAACCCAGAGCAAAGTTTCTTCACTTTTGACCCTTCTCTTCAGCTTCTAGAGTTCCTTGCCACTGGCCATGCTGTCTAAGGCTTCTGGGAGATGAAGGACAAACCATCTGGAGAGCCAAACACTGACAACCAATGATCAAGGTACAAGTACATGTACCTAAGCACAATCCTCTCAACAATAAGTCTGGAGTTTAATTGTTTTTAACATTTAACTTATTCTGTTTTTAACTCTATTATTTTTAATATTGTTAGCCATGTTGCGTTCCCTTACTGGGAGAAAGGCGGCATATAGATAAAACAAACAAAACAAACGAGTCAGTTCCACTGAATACAGTGAGACTTACTTCCAGGATGGATGAAAATCGATGATTTTTTTTTTAAAATTAATTTAAATCACAATTAAAAAATTAAAAAATCCATTTGTTTGATTTAAATTGTCAAAAAACTCTGATTTTTTAAATTTAAATTGTCATTTAAATCAATTTGATTTGAATCAAATACACCCTGATTACCTCTGAAGTAAATATGCACAAAAGCATATGATCAGTGGAAGCTAAGGCTTTCTGAGGGAAGTTGAAGCTATCTAACATTATTGGTAATAACAGTTTTATATTGTCTCCAGTCTATGAGGCACTTCTATATTCAAGGGAACAGAACAGTGAGTTAAAAAGGCATGATTCCTCTTGATTCCTCTCTACTTCAATGGAACTTGAAGTATGGAATTTCCTCAGTGTTGTTCTTACACTTATTGCTCCAGCAGGAACATTTTGCACGCTGATGCTATATTCTCCACTTGATGCTATATTCAGTATTTAGAAAAATGGTCTTAACCCAGTATTTACATATGCAGGTTAAAAAAAACAAATTACCAGTAAAATTTATAATGTTAAGTTCTAGAACAAGTAGTGGTGATTAGAACTGTAATTTACACTAAGCAGTCTCATCCATAAACACAGTCTTACGAAAACGAGTATTTCTTTCAGCTGCAAGTTTTGCAGAGGCAGATATTTCAATTGTATATTTAGAAAAGGATTACATCTCTTCTTATTTAAATGTCTGATACATATACATTTATTACTGAAAACAAATGTGAAGAGCTAATCACTGGAATATTGCTTGCTTTTAAAGAATGATTAAACAAAGAAGCCTGCAGAAAAAGGGAACCTCCTCTCCCCACAAAAAAATGCAAGCAAAGAGACAGAAATAATATGAATGATACTTCATCTATTCAGGAAACATTGTAATCAATAAAAACACACTAGCACGCCTATATATCAATGAAGTCATTTATTACTGTGCCTTATCTGTAAGAGCTTTTTATTCTACTTGCTACACTCAGTATAATTAGAAATAGGGTTTGCACTTAAATGCTCAATGCCCCAGTAAAAGATTCTGATGTGGAGGCGCAGCCTCCTCCTCCTCCTCCTCCTGTAGGTGGGCTGCCATCCCCAACAATGTATTAGAGCAGAAACTGAGGACCTCTAACTCTACACATGTTGTTGGGCTACAACTCCCATTTGCCCAAGCCAGGATGTGTAACAGTCATGAATAATGGGACTTGGTAGTCTGAAGACATTTGGAAGGTCATGTGCTACCCTACCTTTGGGTTGCGTGGATCCAGTTATCATACCCCAGGCACATTCTATGTAATTTCTATCTCCAGGAAGCTCAGAGCTTAGCCTATCTCAGTGGTTTGCCTAAGACAGTGAATCTGCCTAAGGCTATCTACCAATCTCTTGAAAAGAGGATAGATGAAACTCAATTACAGTGCTCTATACTATCATTAGTTCTCTTGGTCCTGGCACTAGTAAATCTCACTCTGCTAGCCCTCTGCGGGGCAGCATGGATGTTCAACAATGTTCTGTTTCCTAAACAAAACATTCTTCTGCATGTCAGGGCCACACAAGACTTCTAACACAAAGTCACCTGTTCTGATTCAGGATGTTAATCTGTACTTGACCAAGTAAGAGCTTACAGTATTTAGAAAAATGTTACAAAGACAGAACCCTCAAAATTTTGAGTAAACCACAACATCATGTAATAACAACAACAAAAAAGAACAAAAAACAGGTATTAGGTATCAAAAATTTAAAATGAGGGCAGATAATTAACATATGGGAGCAAGTAAACTGGTAGGCACATGGGTAGAACAGTTCATAAAAGAAAAATGGTCATTAAAAAAGATACTGGTGCAGTGAGGTATCTGGTCTGTAAACTAAAAGCCTAACATATTTGAGGTTTGGAAACATTTTTATCATTGTTAAGCCAACTTTAAGTGACATAATTGGTACTATCTTGTAATTAAGAAGATTATTTGACTTGTACTGTACTGGGCTATTTAGCTGAAAAATGATCAACAGCTACAAGAGAAGGTGAACAACAAAAATATAATTTAATGGTCACAGCTTGATATGTTATTAATTTTGAAAACTACATGAAAATTAGACAATATAGAAAACTTAAATATACTATATGGATGTATACTTAAGGAACAATGGGGGTGAGGGAGAACATAGTTTTGCCCCAGGCTAATTCAGAATAGTATATTACTTTACAGCCCAATGTAGAAAGAGGTAAGCCAGTATGATTTTCTTTTATAGAAGCCTTATAAATCAATGTTGATTCTTGGCTAGTCTGTATTACAAGGCACATCAGCACTTGGA